AGAAATGGTGATGAGAAGGTGAAACATTTCTCTGTGTTTGAGGATTTGAGGGCACAGGAATATAAGAAGCTTTTAAGCTTTTGGTTAGATGCTTGTCTTTCTTGCTCTGCTTTCCTTTCACTGAAGGGGTATGGATTTTATTTCAGGGGGAATGTGCCTACTCTGTTCTAAGCCAGTAGTGACATTTGGCCCCTACAAGTGTACCTGTGGGGAGGGCTTTCCCTTTCTGGCCCCATGTATAAACCAGGGGTTGCTTCCATTTGCTTTGTGTACGGTTGAGTTTTATTCTCTCTGGTTTCCCTAAGCTAAGCTCTAAGCTAATTCTATACGAAAGAAATACTAATTAGTTGTTTTTATAAATTGCTTGCCATTAATGCCTGATAATATGCAGTAAAATAAGGATTCTGCATACCATTATATATGTCAAATATTACAGACTTTAAGGTTCTTTTAATTACAATACTAAACTCAGTTCACTTTTGCTTAGCCTTCACAGTTGTTGATCACATAGCATGGTCATCCACTCACAGCTTAAAAAAATACAGGGAGCATCGGAGAGAATGGGTAAAGTAAAATTTTGATGTTTTTAAAATAGCACCTAAATCTATGAAAGTTTATTTGATTTATTGTTTGTATGGGAGGGAGAAGGTGGGTGGCGCTGGGGGAAGGGTGGGGGTGGGCATTGGTAAAATAGCATGCACCATGTAAAACGATGTCAGATATGATATAGGCTGAAGTTTTCATTGTTACTAGTACAGTTTAAGACTTAAGTCAGTTTCAGAAAAGGCAGGACCGTAAAATAGTGGTGTCGGCATTTACAGTGGGCTTATTTTTCCCTCCCAACAGATTGAAGGGGATTTTTGAGAATAGCAGTATTTGACTACAGTTTGGATAGGAGCCTTCTTTTTAGAGCAGCCTATTGGCATTCCCCAAGTGAAACCACCTCAGTACCATGTTAGGCCCTGTTAACTTGCTAAGAAACTTTTGAGAGGAATACTAGGCATTCTAGTTTTTATTGTACACTTGCAATCAGGTGTTCCCAAATACAAATTACAATTCATGAAACTCATGAAGGGGTTGAATCAGAGAGGTAAAATAAATTGTTACTCTGAAGTTAATTGCTTGGTAGGAAATGATGACAGAAATTTGATGCTTCCATTCAAATGAAAGGCACTTTGCCTACCAAAGTTCTGAATCAAGTTTCTTATTCTACAAATTTGGCACTGTAGTTCTGTACAGAGCCTAATTAGCGTAGAGGTTATAGGGCAGAGCAACCTCCATGCTTTTATGGATAGGACACTGTGTTGCTGTTAACTCAAATTACTTGATCTAATCTCTGCCTCATAATTTTTAAACAATTTTTTCTTTGTTTACATACTAAAAATCTAGATTAAAGAAAAATGAAAAAATTAAGAAATCAGATATTACCCACGAAATATTCTGGCCCCTTACATGCAGCCATTTGCCAAAGTGAAGGAAGACTTGCCGTGTTTACCATTCCCTAAGCCTTTCTGTCTCTATAAGCTTTGTCAGAGATAATACTCCAGTTTGGAATGTTGTTCTTCTTCCCTGTGGTTTAAGTCCTATCTTTTCTTTAAATTTTGGCTTCTGCTTTTTGCACAAAGCCTTTTCTAACCTCTCCATCCTTGGTGGCCATTCTATAGAGTCTTAGAATTCCTGAAATACTACTGTTAGTGACACCCATTTGGCACTTGGGTCATGCTACCTTTATTTATGACTTGTTAAATGTCCTGTTTCTCTCTCAGAATCATGGACTCCTTGAGGGTAGAGAGTTTGTAATTATATGCCTATTTGTAACCTCATTGACTAGCACAGAGGAGATACGTTCAGTAATAAGTTTGATTCTGATTTGGATCCAGTGTTAGTGTAAGAGGGTTATTGTTTTTCATAACTGAGGTTATTTTTATGTGAATATAGGCCCAGAAGATCCAAAGATAAAGTATATTGAATTCATAAAGTAATTCTTTGTATTCAAAGATTTGATTCATAATTGTTTTCTGTTAATTGTAATGTGCCTCCCCCGCCCCCCCAAATGGGAGCTGTTTTACCTAGTTTCTTTTGAAAAACATGGTTTGGGCCAGATACCTTGACAGAAACCAAAATTACCAGTATTTCTATTTTTAAAATTCTTTGTTGACTTAGCCAAATTATACTTCCATGGCATATGTCCACATAAATTAATTGAATACTGCATGGTAGTGTAACCAATTCATTTTAAAATAATAACTTTAATCGCTTCTCAGCCTTTTGGCTAAGATCAAGTGTAAAATATTAACCTTAAGACTCTTAAGTAAAGCTTTAAAAATACCAATAAATACTTAGTTGCTAGTCCTTCAGGATATTTCTGTATCTCATATTATTAGGGGTTCTATTTCATTATCTTAAAGGTTTCTGTAATGTATAGGCTGATATTTGATAGCTGTATTTATTGTGTTTGCAGTTATCAAATGTTTATAGAGCAACCGTTCTTAGGCAGTGGGAAGTTACTTTAAAACACTTTTTGGCATTCATAGAAATAGATTCTTTTCATAAAAGCTCATCAGGGATAATGTTTGCTAAATTCATATTTGGAATTGTTTATATTTTATCTGATAGCTGTGTCTTCAGGGCACATATATCTTAATATTAGACTTAATATTGTGATTTCTGAAGCAAAAATAGTCGCCCTAATTCACAAATGTTTGATTAGTAAAAGTCCTAAGAACCTTGGTTTTATTCTAAAGTTTGGTTTATAATAATCTTGAGCCATTAGTTTGACATAGCGTTGAAACCATACTCTTGCTTCATACTAAAAAGCTTAGAGATTGTAGCAGGGAGAGTCCTAGATATGTAAGGGCTTTTTTCTACTTAAAACAAACCAACTACATGATCTTTAAGCTTCTTAATATAATTTAGGTAGAGATTTTAATTAAGACAGTTTTTCTTACATGACCGTAACCAAAAAATGTCTAATATATAGCATTGCCATTCTGGTGCAAGTTTACTTATCATAGTACCATTCAAGTGTGAACTTAGGCCTTCACCAAAGTCTCAATGAGGTAAGATTTTTAAAACATTTTTAAAAAACCCCATTTGGCCCACAGACCATTTCCTGTAGAATTCCAGCATTGGACCTTTTCCTGTGGTCAATCATATTCTTTTGTAGGGTTACACTTGTTAAGACAGTATTTTGAAAAATAAAACACCCTGATTTTGTTCACTTTTGTTTTCATATACAAGAATCTTTACAGTCTACATGTACTTCTAGATGCTGTATTGAAATTGCTGGCAGAGTCTATTCTATACAGACTGAACAATCTGGCCCCTTGTTTTATTTGTAAAGGTTCAATGTATCTATGCCTGCCTACTTCAATCTGCAAGGGAGTGTCAGAAAGGCCCCGCATTCGCCGAGCCGTGAGTTATCACTAACTTTTCAGATGTGTTAATGAATGTGGAACAAAAGCAGTTGTGTTTAAAAGGAAAAAAGGACCATCAAAATAACCTTTATTATAGTAGCAGGCTCGTGAACACTAAATGATTTATTCCAAATTGTGGTGTCAAAAATAACCTACTTTAACTAGAGACTAGCCTCTAGAAAACCTATTGTTGAACTACTCTGAAGCTATCATTGTAGCTATAAATTACTTTTCTTAAATTTAATATACCTTGATTGCAATTAGAATGTTGTCTTTTTAACAGTTAAAACAATTTGAACAAAATCTTACCCCACCTAAAAATGACATATTTAGTTGACTGCATTAAGCTCTTCAAATAAAACCATGTGAAAGGGGTAATGGCTTAACCCTTTTGTTATTCACATGTAAAAAACAAATTAAATAATTGAATCACTTCCTAGATGAGTGTTTGGAGTGCCCCAGGCATTACATGAAGTACGGAAGTTTTTATAATTTCTTTTGGTACCAACAGTTCTTGCTTCAGTAATTCATCAGTAGGTTTTCATTCATCAATGATGATACCAATTTAAGGCTAAAATAAAACACATTTCTTAGGGCTTATCATTCTACATAGAGGAAACATCCTTAAGAGTTTTTTTTTTTCCCCCAAAGAGATTCTAAGCAAAAAAATTGTAACTAACATCTGTATTTTGTTATTAGAGTTAGTTACCTTTCTTTTTCTTAGACTCTTTAAAATATGAGTTAGATAGGCCTATTTGATTAGCAGGTTGGATGCTTCTGTTGCTTAGGAGGTGTATTGTGTTATATGAAGACAATAAATTTAAATGTATCCAGTTTGGCCATATATAGCACAGACCACCTAAAACTTGAAGGTATGGTACCTTTGGAGGCATTAAAGTTAACGCCTAAGTTTCATTTAGGCAATGTGCCTTTGTTTGACTGGTGTGTAAGTCCTTCTTCCAGGTTTGTACACTCTTAAACACGCTATTCTACCCTCTCTAACTCATCCCAGCAGCAAATGGGAGACTTCAGCTGGAACAAAATAGTGGAAGAAATGGCGTCTGGGGTTCAGTGGGGATTCGCAGTGTGTATGCAATGTTTGCAAGATTATTTTTATGTTTTTCAATTAATGTAAATAATTTCAAAATAAATCTATGCTTAGTATCAAGTAGGGAACATCGTATACCAGTAGAAACTCTCCTAGTGGGTCTGCTGCAAGTCGCTTAACCTCTTGGGGCCTCAATTTCCTCATCTGCAGTTTAAAGGTTTAAAGGAGTTGGACTCGATAATCTTTAAAGTCCATTCCTGCTCTGTACCCTATGCTTTTCTGAAGTACTCTATTTAACAATGCATTGCTTTCCCACTTTGACTATTTGAGTTACATTTGCAGTACACATACTGCAACTGCATGTCTAAAATAGTGTTTTTATGGGATATTATATAAAAAACTAATCCCTCTTGAGCTGATTTATAAATATATGTGTGTATAGCCACACAGAAAAAGCTAGTGATAGTAGGGCTCTCAGAAAGTAAGTATTTTCCAGTTGTCTAACCTTGAATGTTATTAACTTTCCTATATTACAGGAGATACTACTCGCCAACGAATCAAATTCAGTGATGACAGAGTGTGCAAGAGTCACCTTCTCAACTGTTGCCCCCATGATGTCCTCTCTGGAACTGTACGTATTTATTAAATCTATTGTTGGATTATTGGTATCCTTCAAAATGAACTACTTGATAAAGACTTAATTCCTCGTCAGGTTATTATGCAATGTTTTTTTAAAACACTGTTACAGGAAGGATTTGCATCCCTTACATTGTTTATTTGGGTTTCCCATCTGCAAAAATGGGATTCCTCCCAAAAGTAATTGCTGGGCTTTATCATTTTTTCTATTCTTCAGAGCAGTGTTTGGAAAAGCATTTCTTATTTGGAATATAGAGGCAATTACTACAGTAGAGTTGCACTTGTAGCTCCAAAATAATACAAATGATTTTTAAAATAGTTTTCTTTATCATTGAGCAGAGTAGACTTTTATCCAAAGCATTATATGTTAAGATCTGTGCACATGATATTGTGGAAATCATAGTGGGGAAAACATACTGGTAAATACTTAAGTTCACATAGCTTAGTTTGCTAGTAGGGTTGTCACTTAAATTCATTCTGTATTGCTGACTTCTAATACTGTAAAAGCTCACTTAATTTAGATTCTATACCTAGTGATATTGGTTGACCTTGGAGTATCATCATTTTAATTTGAAAGATAAACCACATAATGATGGACCTATTTAAATGGAACAAAGGATCTGATTTCCTGACTTGATTTGGTTGAAATGGTTACTCTCAGTAAGAGCTTCCCTTCTCTGGCTACATGTGATGGCAGAGGGGGGCTAGTAGGCACTAAACATTTAGCTGGCTTTATTTCTCATTTGCTTGAAATGATGAAAAGCTTTCTGCTTCCAGTTTCAGAAGTGATGAGTTCCTGTAGTTAAATTAGTCTGAATGGTTTCTTCTTGATAGGAAGAATTAAATACCTCTAACAGATAGATATCAAGGCATATAGAGTAGGAAACACTTTTGTCTTATTCCAGTAGGAAAGACTGTGGAAACTGTATCATGTTAAAAGGAAAAAAAGAGCCTACATTTAAAAACATACATAATATTTGAAATTTTTTTAAGTATAATAATATAAGGCAAGAAATCAGATTCTGAGCACTTGAATTAGAACGATGACAGATCATTAACCCTCACATCTACTGTTCAGAGTTTCCATAATGTATTTTCTAGTGCGCTGTATAACATTTGAAAAGTGAAAAATTGATAATTATCTGTAATATCCTTTGGTTCTCCATTACTGTTGTAGTAAATTTAACAAAGTCATTTTATGTAATGGCTAAATTAATCACTTCAAATAGTTTTTGAGAACAGGATTACCAAAGTGACAGATTTAGTTTGTTTATTTTTTTTAAGACTTAAAACCAGCCGTAACAAGACTTGGACATAGTATTATATTCTTCAGATATGCCATTAATAAGAATCTGACATCATCGTTGTGCTTTACATTTTATAATGTACATACGCAATTATGCTCATTTCTTAAAACTATTTTGTGAGGTATGTGATTCACAGTCAGCCTTAATGAGAGTAGGTGAGTTGTTCAAAATCACATAGTTCTGTTGATTTAAAGTAAAACTGAGACCAAAACCAAATTTTATTCAGCATGTTTTCTACTCTAAAGAATACTTAACTTTTCATTATGTTAAATAAAAAAAGATGAGTGGTTGGTCTTGGACTTTTTTTGTAAAGTTCTTGCCTGATAGCTTTATAAGATGCACATTTTCTCAAATGTTAACATCTCTGAAATACATTTTTTAAGTTGATGATAGAAAAAATATGAATTGGTTACTTTTTCTTTTGGTACAGAATTGAATGCTGAGGCTTAAAATTGATGGTGCTTGGGTTATATTAAAAACAGTTAACAAAAGCCCTTCTACAGGTACTTGACAGGGCAACTCTGGATGGAAATACCTCATTTTGTCAGTGTAACAGACAAGAGATTGTCTTCTGTAAGGATTAGATTAAGTAGTTGTGAACCTCTTTAAGAATTTAATCTGAACTTTATAGATTGGCTGTAGGACTTTGTGAGAATACAGGGTTATCATAGAGTGGTCTCTTTGAGAACTCAAAACTACTCATAGTGTGACTTTCTCGTGACCCTTATTAGGAAGAAGAGCTATTTATAACAGTTCATCCTGTGCACAGATGGTTTGTAATTACAGAGTTATGACTTCTTTAGCAACCAGCCTCTGTAGAACAACTCCTTTTCTGGGGTAGTGTAACAGTTCATACCTCTTTACATTGAAATGGCTGTATCACTTTTTCTCCTTCCTTCCTCCCACCCTCCCTCCCTCCCTCCTCTTTCTTAACAGATTAGATGAAAAGAACTGAATTGTAACTGCTTATTTTATAATGCTTTTTCTTTGTTGTATGACAGAAAACTTTGCCTTTTTCCTCACATCTGCCACTTCCAGCAGAATATGACTCAGCAATATTCTAGATTATTTAGCAGAAGAATACACAGAAATGTCTTCTCATTTGAAGACCATGCCTTCTTTTTGAAGGTGGAGAGAGTGATTTCTAAAAATGTACTCATAACTGACTATTTGAATGGAATATTTTTGGAATTGAGTTTGGTGAAAATGCTCTGTAACATTCTACCTTTCAGTAGTCTGATACTTTGGTATAACTAATTCATAAGCTAATAGGAGGAGGTCACATGTACAACAGAGAATCAAAATAATTGTATATGTGTATTTGGATTGTGATTTTTAAAGAAGCGTGACTTTATAACTGAGGAAGCTGCTTTATTTCAGAGGCTTGGGTTATTTTCCTGTTCTTCTATAATATTGTCTTGATTTAGTCTCATTCATTGCCTCCTGTATGCACACTTGGATTCTTCCTGTTCTAGTCACTGTGCAAACAGTAGGCAGCATCTGCTTTCAGATCAGGCAGAACAAAAAACTAAACAAAATTGTCCTTTTTCCCTGGAAACATTATTTCTGGTACATACCTTCTCTGAAGAAAGAGAAGAATATTGAAGTGCTTAAAAAATACCTTTCAATCTGGTTCCTTGTGATCTGGGGAAAAAGATGTTTAGTAGTAATAATTTATATAAAAGCATTAAATCTAAAGCAGAGATGGTAACAGAAGCTTGAAATTAAGATCTGCTGAGATGAAAATGTACACACTCATGATGTGCCGGTCCTAAAATCGGAAATGGCCACTACTAATTATGGCCTTCATCATAGTACAGTTGTAGGATTGACAGGCCTTCATGATTATAGGAGAAGGTTGTTATTTCATAGATGGGGAAAATTAAGGATCAGAGAAGTTGTGCTTGTCAGATGTCTGACAGAATTACGGAAATACATAGGAGTCTTAAGTTATTTAAATCTACTTTTAAAAATGTTTCTGTTAACTCTTTAGATAGCGCATTTACTTAAGGCAGTGACTTTCAGATGTTTCTGAAACGTCCTTGGAGGCATTTCATATGCTAAGAGCATGGGGACAGGCCAGTCTTTATTTCAGCTAGAATTTTACACATTTTAAGTATGGGATTTTCCATGAAATTTTAAGAAAAGAGATTCTACTGCTCAGAAATGGAATTTTTAAAAATGTTTTATTTGATTTTTGAGAGAGAGAGAGAGAGACAGACAGACAGACAGACAGTGTGGGCAGGAGAGGGTCAGAGAAATGGGAGACACAGAATCTGAAGACCGGCTCCAGGCTCTGAGCTGTCAGCACAGAGCCTGATGCAGGGCTCTAACCTATGAACTGTGAGATCATGACCCGAGCCGAAGTCGGACGCTCAATCGACTGAGCCACCCAGGAGCCCTGAGAAATGGAATTTAAAGTTTAAAGTTGAGAAATACCAAGAGACAGGGATAAAGTAAATATTTTCTCTGCCTTTTTAAAGTGATGAGGATTATTTTCAAAAATTTTGAGTTGATTTATTAGTGCCCTAGGTTCTGGGGCTTTTTTTTTTTTTTTTTTTTTTTTTTTTTTTTTTTTTTTTTTTTTTTTTTTTTTAATGTTTATTTCTTTTGAGAGAGAGCATGCATGTGAGTGGCGGAGGGAGAGCAAGAGAAAGAATACACAAGCAAGCTCCACACTGTCAGTGCAGAGCCCAAAGCCGGGCCTCGATCCCCATGAGCCACAAGGTCATGACCTGAGCCGCAGTCAGGAGTTAGACGCTTAAATCCCTGAGCCACCCAGGCGCCCCTATCTTAAGTGTAGTTTTTACTAATTGAAACTCCTTTATTGCTTCTCTGAACGATTGTGTTGAAGGTCTGGTCTAAAATCAGTTACTTGGATACATACAAACCTGAACTTTAAAACTGCTGCAGTCTTTGCTAGTACATATGTAAGAGACCCATGAAAGTATGGAGAAGAAGAATAAGTGATAAGAAAGAAACCACAAAATTTTCTCAACCAGCCACTAGAATGTAAGTTTCTTATAAGAGCAGGAATGTTTTGTTGAGTGCTGTGTCCCCAGCATCTAGAACACTGTCCCTCCACTGTGTTGAATAATCTACCCAAAGTAGAATACCAGATAAACCTGTTACAGAACTAACTTGAGTTTGAAAAATTAACTGTTGTTAGTGGGAAATGTGTTAACTTGTAAACTCGTAAGGAACTGGAGAGTATCTTGGGTTTGTTGAGCTGCTTATCAGAATAGGACAGCAGTAGTTCCACACGCAGATGTGAAAAAATTGGTCTGTAGACATGTTAAATAACCACAAATAGTTTGTTTACGGCTGCTTTGGCATTTAAAAAAATTTTTTTAACGTTTGTTTATTTTTGAGAGAGAGAGAGACAGACAGCACGCACGAGGGAGGAGAGGGGTAGAGAGAGAGGGAGACACAGAAGCTGAAGCAGGCCCCAGGCTCTGAGCTGTCAGCACAAAGCCTGGTGCAGGGCCCAAACCCACAAACTGAGATCATGACCTGAGCCGAAGTCGGATGCCTAACAGACTGAACCACCCAGGCGCCCCTGCTTTGGTATTTTTTTTTAACAATTGCTTTTTGCATTAGCCCACATTATGTACTTAATTTCTTTCTTTCTTTTTTTTCTTAATTTACGTGACACCCAATTTGCAAAAATGCCAGTTTTTGCAGCCTA